ACACATATATATACACACACATATATACACATATATATACACACACACATATATACACATATATATACACACACATATATATACACATATATATACACACACATATATACACATACATATATACACATACATATATACACACATACACACACACAAGCAGAAAGAGACATGTATTCAACAAATATGAACTGGAATTTATTGTTTTAATTCACATTCAGCTCAGCCATGGATCAATCTACACAAAGCTTATTTCACAGCTCTAAATTAGCTTTTGTCTGCCAAAAATGTCCATCCATCCCATAAAACAGGCATGGAAACTATTCTCACATACAGCTAGAGGTAATGGCATGTTGTAACTTTGACTTGAAGCAGACTGTTAACACAGAAGTACGGGGAAAAGGCGACGAACAAGAGTTTATTGCAAAGTGCCGATGTTCACTTCTGGGTAACTTCATCCAACTTGGGCTCTGAAAAAAAACAGAAAGTAGAGATATTAACTCAGTGCACGTTTGATTATGTACTCACATTTCTACTTTCCAGGTCCCTAATGCTGCTTTGGCTGGTCTTAGTACCCATTAAATATGAATATGCCTCGTGTACCAGAGGGAATGTTGTCCCTATGGTGGGTTAACAGGACACGTCAGCCTGTCACAAAGAATGGACCTCTGGCATCAATGTGAGGCCCGTCTGATGCTACATTCAACTGAGCCGGTTTGAAAATGAAGCAAAAACATAAAAGCTGTGGCCAAAGTGCTGACACATGGCAAACATAACTTTAAAGTTTAACATTGATCAACACAATTAGTTCACAGCCCTTCAGTAGGAAAGCAACTCAACAGTTGGAACTATACCGCACACAACAATCAGCATTGCAATGGTTGACTAATAATTGATTAACTCGACTCACCTGTGAATTTGAACTCTGGAAAAGATGCAAGGTCTCCACCACCATAGAGTCTCTGAAGCTTTGCTACCTCGTCTGTCAAGGCCTTGTCATAGTCAGAACCTGCATCCACTAGCCCCCCAGTAGCCCTACAGGGGGACAGAGATCAGTCATCCATTCATTCTCTCCCACAATGAATGCACTATAGGCTCTGTTCAATCATCAGTCCACATTCACATTAGTTTTAAAAGGCAGATGCAGAATCAGGCTTTATTTATTATTTTAGTAATCAGAGGATCGGCGGTTTGATCCCCGGCTCCTCTAGTCCAGCGGTTCCCAAACTTTTTAGGCCACGCACCCCCTTCTACATCCCAACCGGGTTCACGCACCCCCAATCCCCCACACCTTTTAAAAAAAAAAAAAAAATGTAAAAAAAATGTAAAAATCAACAGAGCCTATTTATAGCCGCATAACAATCAGACCAATGAGAGAACAGTTTGCTCGCGCGTGGCGTTTGTTTACAAGATTTAGTCTGCTGTTAAAAATTGCAGTGTGAACACAAACTGAACAAAGGGGCAACTGCAACATTGTATCATATTAATCCCTGAATCGGAACAAAGCAAACGAACTATGGGTGTGAAAACGCCCTGAAACACTGCAACAAAGTTTCAATAAATTTCAGTTACACAAGGCGTCACTTTTAAAGAGCAATAAGGATGGCGAGGACACACGCACAGGCTCAGAGGCAGATTGCATCACATTTAATTTACAATTAACCATACATAGCGGTTACATTAATCTGAATCGAATTACAATAAAGTTACTCTCTCCAATCATACATTCCACCATCTCTTTGGCAGCTGGCGAGCACACGTCTTCGGTGATTGTGTGCGGTAGCCCCTTTCTTGCTATTCTGTAACTGACCAGATATGAAGCCCGTAGTGGGTTTTTTGTAGACCCAACACATGAATGAGACTGCAGTTGTTTTGTAACTCCTCCAATTTCGATATAAACAATGTAAGGGGCTTTTGACTTGCACTGGCATGCTTGGTGTTCAGATGGCGACGTAAATAAGAGGGCTTCAGACAGCTGTTAGCCAGAACCTCACGTCAGTCAGTCAGTCAGTCAGTCAGATAGATAGATAGATACACACACACACATA